TAATGAATAAAGCACTGTTGGCCAATAGGAAAGGAAGATAGGCGGGACTAGGAGACGAGGAAAGAGGAAGTAGTAAGGGGAGCCAAGATGGAGAGTCTGGAGAAAACAGTATGCCTGCCGGCTCCCCGGTAAGAGAAATACATAGATCAGCAGAAAAGGGCTAATAATTAAGACAGAGCTAGCGGATAAAAAACCGGGCCAACAGAATTATATCTAATACAGAGTCTCTGTGCATTATTTTGGGCTGGCGGCGTGGCGGCAGGACAAGACCAGGCGGCAAGTGAAAAAACCCATACTCCTTACAGTAGCCTTTCCACGGTTGCTCAAATTGTTAGTTGGCAGCAGACTTGTAGGTCTCTAGACCTTTCTTTAGTAGGAGAGAGGGGGAGAAGAGAAAAACATGTGCAACTGGGAAGATTGAGTCAGGGCAGGAATAGAAGACAGGAGAGAGGTGGGGGAGAGAGAGAGAGAGAGGGAGAGGGAGAGAGAGCCAATATTGTTTTGAAGTGAAAACTTCATGACAATTCTTAAGAAGCAGATCCTATTATTATCTCTGTTTTAAGCAATTTTGTTAAGATTGCCCAGCTACATTTGAGTAGTTGGTAGCAAAGCCAAGGTTTCTGGTGGAGATAGTTTTGTATTTGTGCCCCTAACCATTTCACCATGTTGCCTCTGTGCTCCTCCCAAATAATACCTGTTTTTGTAAAATACACACTACTCTATCAGGTATTGTTTGATGTAATTAATTTGCTTCTTTTTGGATCATAAGTTTTATTTGGTTTTTGTTTGGTTAGTTTGTTGTGTTGTTTTTATTTTTGTTTGTATTTCAACAACGGCTTTCTCTATGTAGCCATGGCTGTCTTGGAAGTCTTTCTGTAGACCAGGTTGGACTCAAACTCACAAAGATCCATCTGCCTCTGCTTCCCAAGTGCGGGGATAAAAGGTGTGCACCACCCCTTCCTGGCTGGATCAGAAGTTTTACTATTGTCTTCATAAAATCCTTACATGTTCCCCATGTGCCAGTTAAGTCAGGCTAATAGCTGACTTCTTTCTTTCTGGGAAGACTGACTTTTGTCCACACTTGTAAGGCAGGTTTTTGTCATTCCCTCTGCAGCTTTTAGAGATTCCCAAGTTAGCTATAGCAACTTTTCCTTATTTCTAGCCTTCTTGGGGTTCTTATACTGACACACTTTCAGCCATGAGAGATACTCAATGACATTTCTACCTACTGTGATCAGTTCTTATTGGAGCTATCTGGGAACTATTTTCAAAGAACTTTCTCAAGAGCTTTCTTAAGGTCTAGGGGAGTTTGCATAGCAGCTGAAGACTGTTTAGAGAGAGGCTACAACAGGAAAATCTGAAACTCACTCAAAGACTTGGAGATGAAAAACCTAGCTATCCAGGGGTGGCATCTGGTGTGTAGCTTTGGCTTGGGCTGGTGGCTTCAAACCCACAGGCAAGTGGCTTTTTCATGGATTTGTACCTTTACATTGGGCGCCAATAGGACATTTTTTTGTTGTTGTTTATTTGTTTTACATTCTAACCACAGATTCCCCTCTCGCCTCTCCTCCTGTTCCCTCCCACCATCTCCTTTATATCCCCCCCCCCGCCCCCATCCACTCCTCAGAAATGATAAGGCTTTCCATGGGAGTCATTGAAGCCTGGCACACCAAGCTCCTCCAACCCTGCTTTAAGTTTGAACAAGTCATCCCACCATAGGGAATGAGTTCCAAAAAGCCAGCTCCTTTTCTAGAGACAGATCCTGGTCCCACTGCTAGGGGCAAACAGACCAAGTTACCCAACTATCACCCATCTGCTGAGGCCCTAGTTTGGTCCCATGCAGGCTGCCCAGCTGTCAGTCTAGAGTCCGTGAGCTCCCATAACTTGGGGTCAGCTGTCTCTGTGGGTTTTCCCATTATGATCATATAATCCCCTTGACCCCCACCCCCTTCCTCATATAATCCCTACCCCCTCTTTTTGACTGGATTCCTTGAGGTTGGCCCAGTGCTTGGCTGCGGATCTCTGCATCTGCTTTCATCAGTTACTGAATGTAGGTTCTATGATGACAATTAGGGTAGTCACCAATCTGGTTTTGTTGGGTATTCTTTTCAGTCTGAGATCTTATGTTTTTTTTTTTTTTTTTTTTTTTTTTTTTTTTTCATTCTAGGAAATGTATTGACTGTTTCTATAACTATTTCTTCTCTCTTGTTCAGCTTTTCTGTCCATATACTTTATTATATGGATATTGATTTTTCTTGCCACTCTAGTCCTTATATCCCTTTACTTATTTTTCATCTCTTTCTGATAACTTTTGGCAGACTACCTTAAAGCCGGCATTTGTAGATCATGAATTGTTTTGAAACTCTCCATCTTGCTCTTCCACACTTCTATAAAGTTTATTATTTTGACTGTTATATTTGTTTTATAATAACAATTTCTACCTACTTTGTTTCTTTTAATGAACTTTGTTCTATTTACATTTTTTTTCCTTATGTGAAGCCATCTATCTGTGAACATTAGCAGCCCTCACTGTTGAGAATATGAGATGGAGTCAGGAAAGCTACATCTTGATTTGTGCCTCTCCTGTTGTGATTAGGAAATAAGGGGCAGATTGCAGGTGTGTATTTGGAGATTTACCAGTGTCAGGATCTTTTATATTATGGTTTGAACTCCCTTCTTAGGAACAAAACTATTCCTGATCTCTTTCCTCTAGTCCATAAACTGAGAGACTGGTAGGGTAACAGAACATGGGAACATGCAAGAACCAGCCATGCATGTTAAAAATTACTTCAGGACTTGGGAGATTGGGGCTCAGCAGTCAAGAGCAAGTATTTCTAAGGGGATTAGGAAGATGGGAGAGAGAAGGAACTGGGATTGGTATGTAAATTAAGATTGTTTTTAATTTAAGTTAAAAAAAGATATTTAAAAAAAAAAGAATATTATTGCTCTTCCAGAGAACCAAGTTCAATCCCCCATACCCATATTGGACAACTGACCTGCCTATAACAACAACTCTAGGAGATCCAACAGCTCTGAACTCCACACACATGACACACACTCACATAGACACATAGACACACATATACACATAATTTAAAAAAAAAAAAAAAAGGCCAGGTGGTAGTGGTGCATGCCTTTAATCCCACAGGAAACAGAGGTAGATGGATTTCTGAGTTCATGGCTAGCTTGGTCTACAGAGCTAGTCCCAGCAGAAACCCTGTCTCAAAAAACAAATGAATGAACAACGAGCAAGCCATTAGTACCATGTTTCTCCAGTGACACCTTTGTGTTACCCAGCAGGCTTTTGACTGCTCTAGCTATGACGATAGCTTTCCTGCCTTTCTACCACTGTTGCCTGTTCCAGATAATGGTGGAGGAAAAAAAAGTTCATTAGAATAATTCTACCGGGGCTAGACAGAATTAAGAGCACTTCCAAAGTACTTGAGTTTGGTTCCCAAAACCCAGGTCAGCTTACAGCCACCTGTAATTCTGTTTCAGGGGATCCAATATCTCTGGTCTTAGGCACCAGCACTCATGTGTACCTACACACACACACACACACACACACACACACACACACACACACACACACACATATTCATATTTTTAAAATACATCTATAAAACAAATCTTTATTTTTAATTTAAAAAGTCAGTATATCCTAACTTCTTGCTCTGATCTCTGGCCCTTGTCTACTCTTGTCTTTTTGTCTCCCTACACTGGAACCAAAGTTTACTGTGTTGTCCCAGGAATTTCTGTCTTTGTAAACAACATTAGTTATTGTTTTATATCTTAATTGAGTACAGGTTCCCTTTTAAAATGGCTAGTTACATATGAAGATAGTTTGTATTCAATAAAATGTAGATTAATTTCTTTTTTTTTTTTTTTAATGATGGGAAGAAAGATGATTACAGGACTTGGTTCTCTCCATCTACCATATAGGGGTTCTAAGAATCTAACTTAGGTCATCAGGCTTGACAGCAAGCTGCATTAAAACCTAAAAACAATCTAATGAGTCCAAAGAGTGAACCAGGGAAGTATTTCACAGAATATAAATCCTTCACAGAATACAAATTCTATGTCTGATTTCCACTTCCACTTAAGGTGAAGGTGGGGACTGAGGAGATAGCCCAGCAGATTGCTGGACAGATCAAAAAGTAAAGTTTTGGTATATACCTCTGTGTGTGAAACAGTTTTTATCCTTTTTATATTCATTGCCTTGCCTTTTTTTAGGGTATGTATGTGTGTACACATGCTATATGTATTTCTGTTCATTTGTGTGCTAGTGCATATGTGTGTGGTGGGTGTCATTGTTATGTGCTATCCGCCTTGTTTTTTGAAATAGGGCCTCTCACAGTCCAACTCAGGTGGTCTGGCTGTCTCTTACTCCTTACCTCTGGGATTATATGTACCACCATGCTCAGCTTTTTGTGTGGGTGCTGGGATCGTACTTAGGTTTTCTCCTTTTGTAGCAAGCACTTTACCTGCTGGGCTATCTCCTCAGTCCCCACCTTCACCTTAAGTGGAAGTGGAAATCAGACATAGAATTTGTATTCTGCGAAGGATTTATATTCTGTGAAATACTTCCCTGGTTCACTCTTTGGACTCATTAGATTGTTTTTAGGTTTTAATTGTTATAATAATAAAATATGAGAAAGATTATTTTCTAGGATGAATTTACAAAATCAAATTGGGCAAATAGGTAAAAGGATCAATATGTCAGATTATTAAACAGACCAATGCCTGCAATAGAATAGGAATTCAAATTATAGTTGTTAGATTAAAAAAAAAAAAAAAACGTTAAAAATAGCTTTGTATGTGTTTCTACCAGTTCTTAACACTACCGGTATGAGATCATTTGTTTTCCAACATATCTTACATGTTTTGATTATTTGAGTAATCAAAAGAATTCTCTATGTCCTGGAGGGAAAATGCCATCAGTTACTGTAACACTACCCTCTGTTCATCAGTTGAGTAAGTTAGCATATGTTTTCTTACAGGACTGAATTTACTCTTAAAGAAACCATGTCCTCTGGAGGTGCTGAAGATGACATCCCACAAGGAGAGAGGAAGACAGTTACAGATTTCTGTTACCTTTTGGATAAATCCAAGCAGCTGTTTAATGGGTTAAGGTTAGTAGACTCTTGATATGTTAAACTTTTCTCTAGTCTGCTTTCCTTCCTTTCTGGTAGTTATAGGTTTCTAAAAGTTATGCATATATATTAAATACACACACAGCTGTATTAGAAATCATTGCAGCTTGGTGAAGAAGCTCGTGCTTATAATCCCAGCACTAAGGAGGCTGAGGTAGTAGAGTCACAGTTAAGTCTGAACTACAAATGGCCAGGTTGGCCTGACCTAAAATAAACCTACCTTTAAAAAAAATACAAAACAAAGAACAAACAGTAAAAAGTGACTGTAATCTTTTTCTTTGACAGTGTTTACTCTTAAATGAAAAACCATGCATTAGGATGAAGGCCCAGGATACTTTTCCAGAGGTCTTAAGTTCAGTTCCCTGTGCTCATGTTGGGCAGCTTACAACTACCTGTAACTCCAACAGTACCCTCTTTGTCAGTTACACACAAATAAAAATTAAAATAAATCTGAAAGATATCATTACCAGTCAGCTGGCTAGGGTCTTTTGCTTTACCTTGGTAGGAATTATGAGAAGGCAGGGAGAATCTCCCAGTGTTGACAGTCCTCAACTAAGTTCTAAGACCTGAGGGTTCTTCTCGCAGCCATAGGGCCTATTGTTCCAGACTTTAAAAGTTTGGGACTTAAAGCTTTGGACAGACAGTCAGGTTAGAGGATTGTACCTCTGTGATTTATCCACCAGCAGCCCCAGAATTTAGAAACTAACATTGGTAGAAACTAGCATTGGTAATCAGGACAACAGACAGCAAGCAAGCAGTGCCTCCTAATGTTAACAGCTGGAACCCTCAGCCTTTAGCAACAAGAGTATTAGGATTCTCAATCCTCTATACAGGTTAATGTTGTATCTCTTGAGGCTTTGATGTCTGTGACCCTTTGTTCTTAATGTTTGACAGCTCCCTGAAACTCTTGTAGCAAATAGGGCCTACAGTTTCTTACCTGCTGATCTTCACAGTCTTGTGTCTTTTGGCTGTGATCTTCATTATTTATGCACTAGCTCTCCTGCCACTGCTATCTCCTTTGCAGTGGCACTGCTGTTTTTTTCTTCCATTGCTTCCTGCTGGTGCCACTGCTGATGTCAACCTTTGTTCTACCAGCTCAGTCTTCTTCACTAATGATAAAAATCAAAAGTAGGCTAGAAAAAAAGACCATTAAGAAACAGTGTCTCAGCTGGCTTTGCAAGTGAGCCAAACAGCCTGCTTCAGTAGCCAGGAAGAGATGTGAGAAGGACATTTGCACCAACCACAGCAGATATACCTGCCAAAAGGACTGTTTTGAAATACTTGTAGCTGGAATAGTACCTTCTAGGAACAGAGTTGCACTTTGTTAGCAAGCACTGATATCACCCATGTAGTTTCCACAAGATGTCTAAAGAGTGTTGGCATGAAGACAGTCCACCAGACAGTTTGGCCAATAGTCCTTTCTTTAAGCAAGCAGGAATAACAGGAAAGGTCTAATATCTATCTATCAGAAGTCAGATCACCAAATTGCCCTATATCCTACCATATTTAAAAGAAAAATTAAACATTAAAGTAGGGTAGGTGGAATAAAAGCTTACTAAAATTAAGTGACTTAATGGGTATTTTTTTTTAAGATATATTTGGTATGTATATAGTGTTCTGCCTGCAGGTATGCCTGCAGGCCATAAGTGGAAACAAGATCTCATTATAGACAGTTGTGAGCCACCCTCTAGCCTCATAACCTCTGAGCCATCTCTCCAGCCCATATGCGTATTTTTTTTTTATTTTAAAAGTTTTTAGATTTCTTTATGTGTATAACCAATTTGCCTGTATAGTATATGAGTATATGTACCATGCATGAGCCTGATGCCCATGGAGAGGAAAAGAAAGCATCAAAACTGGAGTCACAGTTGTAAGCCAACATGTGGTTGCTGTGAACCAAACCCAGATCCTCTGTAATAACAGTAAGTGCACCACCTGCATGTCCAGGGCCACCAGAAGAGAGTATCAAATCCCCTAAAACTGAAGTGACAAATAGTTGAAAGCTGCCATCTAAGCTAGCAATTGAAGCTGGGCCCTCTAGTAGAGCAGCCACTGCTGAGCCATCCCTCCAACACCTAAAAACTTTTAGCATGTAATTTAAAAATATTTTGGTAGATGGGCTAAGAAGATAGCTCAGTTGATAAAGCATTTGCGGAAGCTGAAGATCCAGGAGATAGATCCCTGAGTGTTGTGATGCACACTTCTTGTCCTTGCCTGAGGAGATGGAGACAGGAGGATCTCTGGGGCTCCCTAGCCATCCAGTCTAACCAACTTGGTGAAACTTGATCAGTGAAAGGTCTTATCTCAAAAAATAATACTGATAGCGACCAAACATACAACACACACACACACACACACACACACACACACACAAGTTGTTCATGAGGTGTGATTTAATTACTGCATAAAGGAGGGGGGAGTGGAATTGCAAAAGCAGAGTTTTTTGTTCTTACTGTTTTAAGATTAGAAAAAAAAATTAATTTCTGAATGTGGGTATGGGTGTGCACGCACACATGCAGTTTGTAGGCCAGAAGAAGCTGGATTCCTAGTAAGTGAAGTCACAGTTGTAAAAAACCTGGTGTAGAACCCATGGATTGAACCCAGGTCTGATGGACACTGAAGACCCCATAATGGAGCTTAGTCTTTAACATGGCGGGGAAACTGTTTTTACCTAGACTGTCTGACTATATGCTATGTAAACTGGACGTACAGTACCCACAGAAAAGTGACTGCTAAAGTTGCCAAGATATGACAAGATGGTTCTTCAGGGTTCCTGCTAAATAGAAGAAAGCAACTGATGAACTTTGCCAATACAAGGCAGAAGAGAACTTCAGATTTCCTGCTTCATTGAAAAGTTTGCCAGATACTATGGGCCAATGGGCTGAAGATGGATGCCCCAACATTACAAAGAAACTTTGGGTGACTGTCCAGATAGCAAGTTGTCTCTGTCAATTCTAGAGTTTATTTTATATCCTTCTGGGTTCTTTGATGGAGTTGAAGACAGATAGTTACAGTTGTTTTCCATAGTTACAATAGAAGATAAATTAGATATAAAACTTTAAACTCACAAAGATAGGATAGATGATTTTCTTTAAATTTTGCCAAATGTAAATGGACTAAATATTGTAACTATAAATCTAGTTTGATAACTGTTTTGTTATATATAAAATTTTACTATATTAAAGTTAAAACCTTCCTTTTATTTAGACAGAAAAGGGGAGATTATGGGAGATGTTCTCTGTATGCTGTGACTATGTGTTTCTCTTATTGGTTGATAAATAAAGCTGTTTCAGCCAATGGACAGGCAGAATTTAGTCAGGCGGGAATTCTGAACAAAGAGGCAGGGAGAAGGAAGATGTAGCTGCCAGGCAAGATCCCAGGACATCACCTAGGTAGGCCAAGACCATGTGGTAATACACAGATTGGTAAAAAAAAAAAAAGGGGGGGGGTTAATAATTAAGAGAGGGCTTGCCAGTAAGAAGCCTAAGCCAATGGCCAAACAATTTTATAAATATATATTAAGTCTCTGAGTGGTTATTTCATAGCAGTGCGGGGGGGGGGGGGGGGCAACACACCTGGTGGCCAGAGAGAAACCAGTCCAGTAAGACCCAAAGTAGCCAGAGAAAATCTCCCATTATAAATGGCACCCAACTTTGGCAGAGTAAAGGAATTCACAAAAGCCCAGATAAAAGAATATGAAATATTTATCTGGGGAACACTTACACAATGAAGGTTGGGATACTGCTCTCAGCTCTCTGACTACTACCCAAGAGAGCATCAGCTTGCTCCCAGTCCACCTGTAGCACTGCCCTGGTACCTCAAAGACTACTGGCTGAATGAGTTCCCACAACACAGGTCCTCTTTGAGACTAGTACCTGTTCTTAACTACTGAGCCATTTCTAGCCCACGTGACTGTTTAAAGAGATTTTTAAATCTATGAATGTTTTGTTTATATATTTGTGAGTGCAGTGACAGCAAGAAAGGATGCCAGTTCCTCTGGAACTGGAGTTAAAAGAGGTTGTGCTAGGAACTGAGCCTGAATTCTCTGCAAGAGCAGCAAGTACTTTCTTCTTACTGAGCCATGTCTTCAGACACCACATGATGTTTTGGTTTATTTTATTTTAAAATGAGAATTTTGTATTAAAAGGATTTTCTGAGACATGCATGGTGGTATAAACCTGTACTAGTTTCTTGTCAACTTGACAAAAGCTAGGGTTACCTGTGAAGTGGGAATTTCAATTGAAAAAAAAATGCTTCCTGCAGATTTCTTATAGGCAAATCTGTTGAGGAATTTATTAATAAATGAATAATGTGGTGTAGCGCCCACGCTATAATCTGTTCCACTAGTCGGGCAAAGGCCTAGAGATTGAAATATGAGACAAGACATGAGGTCATTTGTTCAACATCAAAGTCAGACTGCTGAATGTCGTTTATTGACTTATATACTGACTCACAGAACAGTGGAAAACAACAGGCTTAGCTCCTCCCCAGCAGATGTGTGTTAGCAAAGCAGGAAGATAACAGCTGCGGGGGAGGGGGATCTGTCAAGAAAACAGGAAGAGTACCAATAACAACTCTGGGACAAGATGTTCCAGCCAACAGCTTCAGGCTTGCCTCAGGGTCCATGCAAGGCCTTACAATGTGGGAGAGCTCAATACTCTAAAGGCTCTGACAACCTGGGCAGGTGGGCCAGAGCTATGTAAGAAAGTAGCAATGTAAGCCATGAGGAGCAAATCAGTAAGCAGCACTCCTCCATGGCCTTTGCTTCAGTTCCTGCCTCCAGATTTCATCCTTGAGTTCCTGCTCTGACTTCCCATCATAATGGACTGTGATTGGGAAACACAAGTCAAATAAACCCTTTTCTCCCCAGGTTGTTGTAGATCATGGTATTTCTTGGCAGCAACAGAAATCGAACTAGGACAGTGCCTATAATCTGACTGCTCAGAAGGCTAAGGCCACCATGACAGAGGGCAGCCACT